TCCCAATGTAGGCATCTAAAAGTATTTCCTTAATCATCAAGTACCTGTTTGACTTCACCATAGAGATGACCTTGCTCATCTTGGGCATCAGCTCGTGCAATTTCTCTCGGCGTTTCTCAGATGAGGCCCTTGGAGTTTCTGCTCTCGCCTCTCTTTTCGCAAGGGAAGCTAATAGGGAAGACACAAAATTGAATCTCCTTAGCCTTATTAGAACACAGGCTACAAAATAAGCATACATTTTTGCAAGACGTTCAGCGGAATAGTGTGGGACGTTGCCTACAGTCCAGCCTTGTTAGCTTTGGTCTGCTCCCCCAGATCCGCTACCTCACCAAAATGTTTGTATTCTGAAATTAACACGATACTTTAATCTCATGTTCACGTATTTGTTGACGCTCTTAGAAGACTGAAAAACCACAAATCTCCAGGGGTGGACGGAATAGCCAATGAGCAGCTGAAGTATGGTGCACTTGGTCTTGTCAAGCCCTTGCAAATTCTTTTTGCTAAGGTCTGGCATGGAGAGGTTATTCCTGAGGACTGGTCGAAGGGCATAATTGTAGTGCTGCCCAAGAAAGGGGACACCACACATTGTGCCAACAAAAGAGGAATAACACTCAGATCCACTGCATCGAAGTTGTTTCAGATTGTTGTTCTGGGTCGCCTTAACACTGGGTTGGAAAAGCTGTTGAGGGAAAATCAATGCGGATTCCGGAAGAACAGATCATGCATTGATCAGATATATTCACTACAGACAATCATTCAAAGAAGTATTGAATTTAATATCCCTCTGTATATAAATTTTATAGACTTTAAAGCAGCTTTCGATAGCATTAGACGTGACTTCATCTGGAAAGCCTTATCTTTTTATGGTCTCCCAGTAAAGTACATCTGCGTGCTGCAAGCCTTCTTCTACAACACTGTGAGCGCTGTCAGGGTGAATGGGGAGCAGTCCAACTGGTTTACTGTTAACTCTGGGACTGGTCAGGGTGACATTCAGGGACCTCCGGTGTTCAACGTGTGCATCAACTTAGCAGCATACCTCACAGAGCAGAGTAAACACCTCAGCACTGGCGCTGTGTTGCAAAAGGAAACCCATGACAAGCCGTCAGTATCAGTTCTTGATACTGACTACGCGGATGACATGGCCCTTCTGGATAACACGAAGACAGGGTTACAGGAAACAACAGACCTCTTATGCAAGAACAGCTCTCTGGGCTCAAGGCCAATGCCAAGAAAACTCAGGCCATGGCGATTGGGAAGCACACAACGCAACGACCATACACAGAAGTTGGCACACTGGACATCAAGGTCGAGGGGAGTCGGGTAGAGCAGGTCAGTAGGTTTACCTACTTAGGGACAACCTTCAGCAGCGACGGGACGACAGACTCTGAGCTCTCGAACCGCATACAGAAAGCCTCCGGAGCATTCAACCAGCTTGGGAAAATATGGAACAACAGGAACATTCTTGATGCAACCAAGTTGCGGATATACGAGGCTGCTGTTATCACAATCTTGACCTATGGGAGCGAAGTCTGGATCACCATTCAGGCACAGGTTAACAGACTGGAGACCTTCCATCAGAGATGTCTACGGAGAATTCTGCACATCAAGTGGTTTCAGCATGTGACAAACAAGAGCGTGTTGCAGAAGGCAAACACAGTGGACATCGGAACACGCATAGCTAACAACAGACTAAGATGGCTAGGTCATCTGCTAAGAATGCCTGAAGAATGGTTACCCAAGTTCCTGTTGGAATGGACGCCCAACTATTGGAAAAGATCTAGAGGTCAACCAAGGAAGACATGGCTGGCATGTGTACTGGAAGATGCCAGGACGACCATGCAACAACCCAGTCTGACCCTAGAGGACCTGAAGACGATTGCCCACGACCGCCAAATATGGCGCAGGACGCTGTGCAGACGGAGGGACGACTTTGACGCAGGTCACTCACAGAGATGAGAAGACCTACTCAAGTAAGTAAGTAAGTATAGAATCTTCTGTACCTGTATTGGCGGACCACAATAGGGTTTGCGTAATAACTATCCGAGCGCGTCCTAGAGGGTTTTCGCATCTGATGCCCAGTGGAGCGCGGGGATGGCGTGTCCCTGGGACGGGCTAACCAAGCCATGCGCGCGTGTAAAAACTCTCCGCGACGCCCAACAAGTCTGTCCCCCAGGGTAGATATTTGGAGTCATGACTGTTTCTTGTTCTTTTTTTGGCTGGTATCAGATGCTGAGTGGTTGGTAGTGGTTGGTAAGTCCAACAGTTTGATAGTCATTTTGTGCATAATGCATAGTTTGGACATTTTTCGTCTGTTTTCCATCGACCCCCACTAGCATCCCTTTCATAGTTGATCGTGTAGAATCTTCCAGCTTGATTCTGTACTCTTTCCAGTTTTTCTTTCCTTGTATTTGAATCCCATACTGTCGCGGCATATTTTAGGTTTGGTCCTACATGCGACGTGTTGCAAGTGATTTTACCCTTGTTGGGCATAACCGCTGATTTCTTAATCGCACCAAATGTCTTTTTGGCCTTCGCAGTGATGTTGTTAACATGCATGCCCCACTTCAGGCTACTTGTCAATATAACACCGAGGTACGGGTGAATTTTTGTTGTTGCCAAAGCTTGACCACAGAACTGATAACTATATATGTGGGGATTGTCTCGTTTGATATATGCATAATGTAGCATTTTTCTGTGTGTAACTGCATGAGCCATTTGCTTTGCTACTCTTACAGTGTGTTCAGATCGTTTTGTAGAAGTTGTGAGCAATTCTGTGTAGACAGGTATTAGGCAAATAACCTCAATTTTAAGTCAAGCTGATCTGGTAAGTTATTCATGTACAAGAGGAATAGAAATGGTCCCAGGACAGTTCCTTGTGAAACTCCTGACGCTACTCTAACTGAAGCCGAAGCCTTTCCTTCCACCACTACTGTTTGCTCCTTGTTGGTTAGAAATTGTTTCAACCAATTTACTGTTCTCTTGTCATGTATCTCCCCACTCGCCCCAAACATTAATGCGATAAGATACTTGACCAGGGGCCTCGTCAACAATGATGCGCCAGACGTAACTTCTGTAACATTCACCAAATGTCTTGCTCAAGCAAACGTGTCGAACAAAAATATTAAATCTGGGCAACGGCGAACACGTGGGCAACGATTACACCTACCCCACTCGTCATGTGTGTTGTCCGCGCTCGCCCCCCCTTAACAAGTGTTCATCCGAAACGTGTCAAAGAACACTTCACCAATAACCGTGAGGACCACAGCATGTCCAATGCATTAATACTGCATTTATTTCTTTATTGCACTATTCAAAATGTACATCAGCAGGGGGGAGCCTAACTTTTTCACCAAAAACGAAACATTACCCCACCTTGGGCCCACAAAGGCGCAATTAGTGGTATACAACATCATTTACAAAAAGTGTTTATGACAGAAAATTAGGGTGTACTAAGTCTTATGTTGCCCATAGCAACACCGGCGACGTCATAAAATGACGTCATGTATATTTAAGCTATCCGCCATTTCGGACCATCAATCTTGAATTAAAAAAAAAATTCAGGATAAAGCCTTAAACCATTGTAAACAGACTAAAGACGTTCATATGAACCTTTTTTGTAAAAAGAAATGGAAGTTTTGATGAAATTTTAAGGAAAATAAGCTATATATACCTGATATGGTCCGCCATCTTGGATTTTGGCCAATGATGTCATGCATTAGCATAAATTATGCATTTTAATTATAAAATTTACATAAAATGATATGGATGTTATTAATATAAGAAACCATGTGTTACATGACATAAAACCCATAAAATCCTATTTGTTGAAACTGAAGTTACTAAATTTAGCAAAAAATGCCTGCCAGAAACCCGTTGCAGTGGCAACACAAAAAAATTATTATCTTATTCCAATGATACAGAATTGTTGCAAACAATATTCTAGGAAAAGTCACTATGTTTGGCCGTTCTAGATCTAGCGGTTCAAACGTTACGTGACATCAAAGTTGGCGCGGGCAGTTTAGCCGCCCCCCTCCCATCTAGATAGGGTTAAACATGTGGTGTTAAAATGACATCAGGACAACGGTTTAAATTGGAGATTGTTGGATAATAATTTGATACGTCCATTTTACCAACGCAACAAAAACTACGTTGTTGCGTATATGCTAAAAGTAAAGGTAAAACGATTTTCGACGTCATATTGTTGGGTCAATGGTAAGAGATTCGTTGGGTTTGGGGCATTTTAACTCCGTGAAGGGGGTTATGACCTCCAGACGAAGTATCGTGGGTAGTTTTTTCGTGTTCGCGGCTAAAACACGGGGTTCTCTTTGTTTAATCGTCATGCGATTTTTGCCGTAGCTGTTTTCGCGGTCAATGTAATATTTCAGGTGCACCCCTCCAATTATGAGGCAAATTGGAATATTCCAGAAAACCCCGTTTGTTTGCAATAGCGGTGGGGGGTTCCTTCAGGCAGATATGGCAGATATGGGAAGAGGTCGATAAGTAATACCATATATGTTTTGTCCCCATGGCCGAATTTTTATGATGTTCGCAGCAAAAACGTATTGTTCTGTACATAGAATGTTGTGTAATTGGGCATGTGGTGTGCCATTATGTATGTGGTGATGCGCGTATTTTATTTTCACCCTAGCTGTTTTTATATTGAAGTAAATGCATATTTTAGAAACATCCCTATAATGTTGTTGAATTGTTTTCTCCCGGCTGTTTGACCGGAAGTAACTTGCGGCGCCGGCTGCTGGAAACTTAACTGTGGGGTAGTCAGAGGTCAACATTACGTATGCAAATAATGCTGACGTAATGCCATCGATTTCAAATTGGTTGGCTGAGGCGACGGTGCATCGCAAGTGTCAAGCATTTTCACCAAAATTTTGGGAAAATATTATGTAAGCTTAGTACATGATATTTATTGGTCCATTTTTATTTATTATTGCAAAAACACAAATATGTTTGGCAGTTTTATAAATATGGTGTCTAGATATTACCCAGTAGGTTGGCAGAATCAAGTTGATTCCGTCTGGTGGAAAGGCTCCTCATCAGTCCGCTGATGTCCTCGTCACTGTCGCTACTGTCGTCCTCCCCGGCACACGTACGGCAACAGCCGCACCGCTCACAGCCGGCTTCACCCGAACCACAGCCGCACGGACTGGGGAAAATCAAGAAGAAATGGCCTAGTTAATAATGAATTATTATTATTTCCTTTAATTCCGTCTGCTTAAGATTTTTTTTGTCAAATCACATCAAGAAACCCACGAACGTTTAAAGAAACATATTAAATTGGAGAATAACACATAAAAGCTATGTATAAATGTAAATCCTATTCGAACCGTTTTTTTTTGTCATGCTGGGCTAGGGCTTGGGAGGGGGGGGGCTTTTGAAGCCCGCCCCCTGTAACTCAGCAACCTCTTTTTGTAGGGCCAACGAGTGGTGTAGTATAAAACTTAAATCATGCCAACTATGGTGTCATTGTGACGAATTATGACGTCATTATGACTTGATTGATCGTTTTGGCTAAGACCGTTAAAATTCGTTTTCCTCAAAAAATGCAAAAAAAAAACAATTAAACTTTATATGGCCATGTTGATTTGATTATATGGATGACATCCGCGCGCGCATGAATTTTCGGCCGTTTCCAAAAAAAACCTTTTCAACCATACTGTAAATCGTACAAAACAGTTGCAAAATGAGCAATAAAATATACCGTAAGTTGCAAAGAGAATATTCAAAAATGATACCGATGTCGCAAAATGCCAGAATCAAACAAAAAAGACGAAAATGTAAAGAGAAATGAATTTAAAGAGTAGATTATTCACCAAAACATACTCTGTGTCTGTGTTTTTCAACCTTCATGACAACGCAGATTTCATAATGAAAGCAACTTTTTTTTGGAAAACTTTTTTTTTATTCGCACGCGCGCATCAGTTTTGGGGTTCCCAGAGGATGTCGATAAGTAATACCATATATGTTTTCGTTTGTATGTATGTCTAATAGCTTCTTTTATGTTTTTACTTAGATTTGAGTATTGTTAATTGAGCTATCCCTAGAAGATGGTCTTACCCCAGCATTTTTGACTGAGTGTTTTAGCACATGTGAGTCTTTTGTTGTCGTCAATTTCTTTTAGGTAAGATGTTTTCTTGAGTTTTTTGCGGCAATTTGAATAACCTCAACATGTTGACTCAGAAAACTTAAAAAAAAAACATGTGACCCGAGACCTAATTGGCTATGGAGTTGGGGTCAAAGGTGATCTGCTTAACTACCTGAGGGCATTTTGTTTTAGGTGCATAAATTATGATAATGAGCTTAAGTTATTCACACCTAGTTATGTCAAATTGTGCTTAATAGATTAACGAAACTATGTTTACTTCAAAATCACAAAATAGAGTCACAAAAATAGATATTTGTGTAAAACATTTTGGGTCAGTTTTGATCCCCTACGGTAAGATTTGTCGCAAAAACTATGGTGGCTTAAGGTTTCATTGTTAATTGGAAACGGTTGGCTGATATCTTTTAGTGACCAAATTTAATGTTTTATAGCGCGAGTCGTTTAGGAACTATCCGAGATAGTCATTATTTGCATTACCCCCACCCCCTCATTTTTTTTTCCTTTTGTGTTTAGAGGTGTCCAGATTTTGGAACAGATATCTGAATAGCATAAGTGTTGAATTGTTACAACTGCTTACCCTCCAGGAAAAAGCTGCAGTTTCCCTTGTTCCAAACATTTGTCTCCGTAGCCCGTGCACTTTTGGCAAAACTTGCACACTTTACACTTGTCCTTGTTCCACTGGTGCGTTCCCTTGGCGCACATGGAGGATTCTCCGGCAGTAGATGGTTCAGCTGCGGCTTCGAAACCCCCTTCTGTAGGGTTGTAAACATCATGTGAATACGTCTATTAAACTCGTCAGATGCAACCGACAGTTCAATGAATTGTGCCATTCGCTCTTGCAACTTGGAGCATTTTCTTAGTGTCTCATTTCCCTGTAGCTATGGAAACCAGCGCTGCATCCTTTAAAAATGTGTAAAAAGCAAATTGAATTGACAGACGTTTTTTTTTTACTTTAAACTATATGTACGATCTTACATTGACGAACCCGACCACTATTTACCTGATGACACCTTGGTCAGTGACTTGGGGTTGAAGAGCAAGTCTGTTCCATCCACGTGGACCGTCATGTTGTTATCCGAGTCAACTTTCACCACACGGCCAACTTTACCAAAGGTCTAGGAAATGTAAAGTAAATTATCCCAACATCATATTTTAATCCAATTGCGTTGTAGCTATATGAATTCGTGTATAGATAAAACCCTCGGAAATTATGGGAGACGCATACATATTCTAAATCGACAGCACGCAGTTGCACGTGCAGCGGGTTCTCATACTCACCCCCTTATGAAGAAAATGTAACCTGTAAACTTGATTTGATAATCAAGGCTAGCAATTTGCAGACATTCTAAATTGTGTAACCTTGTCTTATCTTACCTCTATCATTCTGTCATTCCAGCCGCCATGTCCCTCCTGGAGCAGCTTGACTCGTTCAGTGTCATTACTGACACGGACCAGGTCTCCTACACCGATCTCGGCTTCTCCATTACTGTCGCTACTATCGCCGCCACTATTACTGCAGTCGTTGCTGCTACTGCTTCCACTACTGTCGGACCTGGGTCTCTCAACCTTCGTCAGCACGGCGGGGTTGTAGTGCCAGCCGCCCTTCCCTGGAACCTCCACCTTCACGCGGTAGGCACCTACCGCAACTACTCGACCGTAATGACATAAAGTCTATGGTTTGATAACAATTTTTAAACTAATTTTCAAAACATACAAGCAAATGGTACAATAATAGATTAAACAGCTGCAATAGAAGGGGAAGTGTATATATTTCACTGGACCCTTCCACATTATACCATACACAATATGCTTGATAAAAAATGGTACAGATTTAGATAAGAACGGATCATAAAAAGTCTGCAACGGGGGGGGGGGCATATTTTGTATTAAAGTGCTACGGCGTGTCTGCGTCCAATTTACGTAGAATGATACAATACCAATATTCCTGAGTGTTGATGATGAGATGACACAATCTCCCACCATATAACATATTCTACCTCCATGCTCTCACTAACTTCCTAGCATGTGTCCAGGATAGTTGTACTAATTAATGCATGTTTTATAACCAGGCATGTAACGGGCAGATTAAAAAAAAACGACTCAAGCGTTGATTGGCCCCCTTTTCAAACTACAAACAAAGAGAAATGCATGCCATTGGCTGGTATGGTTTACATGTCACTGCAAGAATAATGACACAAATAGTTGTAAAATGTCCCGCTTGTCTATTATGCAAAAGTTGCATGCACACTAATAAAAACACAGGCTAATCTTCAGCAAAAATACTCTGAAATGTTACGATCAACACATAATTAGCAGTTTACCTGAGTAATGATTTTAACTTCGTGTTCTTTAGGTTCAAGAAAATAAAAATAAAAAATAACCAAGGAAGTTAAACCTCCCTTACATAAAAAATAAGGTATAAAATAAGACATAGGCGCCATCTCGTCTCTGATTATGACACCACAATACATATATGACAACGATGTACAGGTAAACCGTGCATCTTTTGTCTCTTCTGAAAAATATTTTTACACTTAAGTGGGCTGATATTTGAAAATAACCAAGCCGGTCCCCCTCATCACCAACGCAAACGACCATGTTTGCAAAGGTGAAATATGTCAAGGTCGAGGTTTCCGATAGCCTAGTTTGGTAAAATTCTGATCAGTAATTGTGTTGTTTTTTTATTTGCCGACTGCAGATCCAATTTGGTGCCGGCATAATGAGGCGTTAATATATGCGGGGGGACGATGGACCACACAAAGAAATCTGCTCATTGTTTAGAGCAACGGTTAGTTACTAATAAAAACTTTGGGATACACTTATACCCCATTCATACCAAAGAGTCAAGGACGTTATATCAGAACCTATTTAAAGCTTCGTGTTCATATAAACTCCTTGTTCATACCATTACCTATCTACTAGTACATATTTCTAGACTGATTCTTTATCGGAGTTTATATAAGCCTGGCATAGCCAAAAATCAACCAGACTCTGGCGAGGGCAAGTTTATAGCAGACATCGGTCCCAAAACAACATTTATTCCAGTCACTGATTTTTGTTGTACCATTGATTTCCTCTACCATCCAATCTAGATGTCTTGTCTTTGTGTAGCGTTGCCTGTTACCTAAACGTTTTTAGATAGTAATTCGGTTCATGGTCTGAACGTATGTTTAGGTACTTTCGGGAGGGAAAATAGTATTATTTTCTAACCAGCATTTTCCTTGCTCTTCTTACACGCCGCCTTTGAAAACACATTTGCATCTCTCAATTTGCGAAACGATCTACATGCATGGTGACCCCTCGCAGTACTTGCGACGTGTGACGTGTGCAGGCCCGTAAATTCCCGTACACAATGTGACATGGCTAAATACCAGGTATCCGGGTGTGTCCGGGGATTTTACAGACTCGCACACACCGTGGCCGATATGTCCTGCACACACCCGAAAAAACCCGGACACGCCAAGTTTCACGAGACGTGTACAGGTCCGGAAACGTCCGGATATTCTGATTTTCGTGATATGATTGTTTCGGCGTGTCTGTGTGTCTGTGTGTGTGTGTGTGTGTGTGTGTGTGTGTGTGCGTGTGTGTGTGTGTTGTGTGTGTGTCTGTGTGTGTATGTGTTTCTGCATTTCTGAGTTTGTTTCCGCACATTTGTAGATTATGCAAATTTTGCAAATGATGACATTTGTTCGTTTGTTTATCATTTGCACAACAGCAATAAAAATTATACATAATAAATGAATAATGAATAAAACAGGTTCAAGCTCCTTGGAATTGTGGTCAGCAACAACCTTAAAGCGACGGTCACAACCCGCCGTACGTGCTTTTTCTCCGTACGTTTTTGGGAGGCTACGTCTGCTACGTTTTTTTCTAAAAAAGGTGGGGAAGGAGTGGCGTCTACGCACGTCACTCGCACGTCACTCGCACGGTTGCGCAATGTGCAAAAGTGGGGTCTGCACGCCAAGTCTGGCCGTGAGCGGTTGCGTGCATCGTACGTTCCGCAAGTGGTAAGTGAGTTGTACGTGCTTACAACGTACGATCTCTGTGCGATTGCAACTTAACCACAAGGAGGCCGTACTCACACGTACTTTCCCGCACGGCACGTACGGGGCACGCGCGTCGCTCGTACTCGCACGCACGTGTGGTGAATCCGCAGACCGCACGTAGAAAAAGTTTTACATGCACTTAAAGTTCTACGGCGTGTCTGCGTGCTCCCAAATCCGTAGGATTCCGTACGGAGGCGGTACTCACCACGCACGGATGCCCTACGTTTGCCCACGTTTTTG